CAAGCTCTAATGTCAGCTTTACCCCAACTCTAAAGTCAGCTTTACCCAACTCTAATGTCAGCTTTCCCAACTCTAATGTCAGCTTTACCAAATCTAATGTCAGCTTTACCGACTCTAAAGTCAGCTTCACCAACTCTAAAGTCTGTTTGGAGGACTCACCCCGGCGAAGGGCAGCGGCGAGCTCCTCACGAAGCCAGACAAAGGCCAGCACGAGTGTCCACTGCCACTGCAATGCTGAAGGCCTTCATGGTGTCGGGAGTTAGAGACCGGTCCTGTAGAGGCTAGGGCTGCTTCTCATGTGGGTGAGAGAGACCCCCCCGTGTCTACTGAGGCTCAGAGTGAGAGAGACCCCCCCGTGTCTACTGAGGCTCAGAGTGAGAGAGACCCCCCCGTGTCTGCTGAGGCTCAGAGTGAGGGGGGGGGGGTCGAGAGTGAGAGAGACCCCCTGTGTCTGCTGAGGCTCAGAGTGAGAGAGACCCCCCCGTGTCTGCTGAGGCTCAGAGTGAGAGAGACCCCCTGTGTCTGCTGAGGCTCAGAGTGAGAGAGACCCCCCCGTGTCTGCTGAGGCTCAGAGTGAGAGAGACCCCCTGTGTCTGCTGAGGCTCAGAGTGTGAGAGAGACCTCCTGGTGTGTGTCCTCTCTGCGGCAGCACAGATGTGTTTTATAGCCCGGCTGGACCGCTGCCGTTGCCTCATCAGCGACAGAGGCACAGTCCAGCTCTTACACAATCCCAGAGAAGTGTGACATCATCGGACTTCACCGTAAACCTTTGGTGTGACTCAGACTGACTCATGACCGGAAACATGTGTGTGTAAAAGCCAACAAGCAAGATTGGTCAATTGTGTAAAGTTCCCATTGTATGTAAGACTTATTTATCTTTAGGAAACGAAGAGGAGAAGATCTGAGACACTCTGACTTAAATAAAATACATATTCTTTATTGTTGTTGCGACAGCCGTGCGATTATAAAGGATTATTATATTTTGAAAAACAAGATGGCCGACAGTAAGGCCTGAGTGAACACTTGGAAACATCTCTGCTGCTGATAAGTTGTTTTCGACAGATCATAGAAAGTAAGTTTCAAAATGCAGCAGCCTCGATTCCTGACTAGAACCAGGAAGTACGACCACATTAGTCCTGACTAGAACCAGGAAGTACGACCACATTAGTCCTGACTAGAACCAGGAAGTACGACCACATTAGTCCTGACTAGAACCAGGAAGTACGACCATATTAGTCCTTGTCACTCCCGTATTTGTCCCGGGAAACCGGATTCGTCCGGAAGTTCAGTTTGATCCAATGAGCAAACGCAGCAGTAGATTACGTCACGGAACCTGGACGGAAGCGGAAGTAAATATAACAAACTACCTATTCTTGCCTAAACTTAACCAGACATTCCCATAAAATAACCCCAACCCAGCCTTAACCCTAAACTTAACCATCTTAATCAGACGCCTAAACTCAACCAGTCACCACTTAAGGACATATTAAACTTTTTGACATGCCGCAAACTGAACTTCCGGACGAATCTGGTTTCCGGGACGAATACGGGAGTGACAGGAAGTACCATCACATTAGTCCTGACTAGAACCAGGAAGTACGACCACATTAGTCCTTTCTAGAACCAGGAAGAACGACCACATTAGTCCAGTTCTCAGGTCTCTGCACCTGTGGCTCAGAGAATAGACTTTAAAGCAGCTCTGCTTGTTACAAGTCTCTCCATGGCCTCGCACCAAACTATATTAGTGACATGTTAGTCCCATATGAACCAGCCTGGACTCTGAGGAGCACAGGGACTGGACTCCTGCTGGGACTCTGAGGAGCACAGGGACTGGACTCCTGCTGGGACTCTGAGGAGCACAGGGACTGGCCTCCTGCTGGGACTCTGAGGAGCACAGGGACTGGACTCCTGCTGGGACTCTGAGGAGCACAGGGACTGGACTCCTGCTGGGACTCTGAGGAGCACAGGGACTGGACTCCTGTTAGTGCCCAGAGTCAGAACTAAACATGGGGAGGCTGCTTTTCAGATTCATGCTGCTAAAATCTGGAACATTCTTCCTGAAGATGTGAGACAGGCCTCCTCTCTGACAATGTTTAAAACCAGGTTAAAGACAGTTCTGTTTAACTGTGCTACAACTGAGGGGTTTTATATTTTTATCTTTTTTTTTAATGTTCTGTGATTATTTATGATTTAAATGCTTTCTTGTTTTGTTCAGTACTTTGAGTTGCCTTGTGTATGAATTGTGCTATATAAATAAACTTTCCTTGCCTTAAGTGACTGTTAGACACTGATCATGGGGTTGGATGTTGTTTTCTACCGTCTTCTATCACTTTGCTTGGACTTAATAACCTGCCTTTGAACTTGGCAACAGTCTAACCAACTGCCAGTGAACAAATCCAAACCAAAGTCGGTCCTGTTGGGTCGGACTTCTGTCGTGTGTTCATGCTTTCCAGGTCCATAACTTTTCAAAGGCTTTTACCAAATGGTTGAGCTGCAGCTTGATGGTTAAAGTGCCTAAAACCAAGTGATAAAGGGACTTCCAAAGAATCAAGAAAACATCCTCATACATTTTCATTCATATAAAAGGTCTGTGGATATTTTCTTCAAATTAAAAACAACACACAGACACGGACATGAAATGGTTGGGAGTGTGGTGTGCTCCGGCTTGGTTGGTGTGAAAACCTGCAGCCTCACCGAAGACCGACTCTGCTGCGGGTAGGACATCGATGTTCAGTAAAGTGTTGGATGTCTTGATTCCAGCCTCTTCCATCCTCGGGCCACTTCTGTTACAAGAAACATGTTCATCTGTTTTACTCCCGAAAATGTTACAGAAGTAAAAATGGTCGAGAAGGAAATTAAACTTACGCCATAAAAGGAAGTCACTGGAATCAGGATTATTTTAACACCCATCGTAAGGAACAGAAACTGCTTTAAAAACTACAAATGTGTTTTTATGGTGCGAACAGGGTTTAACAAGTACAGAATATACAGTAAAGACATCAGAATCAGAATCAGCTTTTTATTTCCATGTGAGAAACAGGACGTCACAAACTCGGAAATGTCTTTGGCTCTCGGTGCCAAAAACAAAAAAAAACAAACAAGCATAAATAAAAATCTACATAATCTCTCCAGTTACTACACAAGTGCCCTCGGTGCACACAACAGACCGTTAAGAGTGCAGTAAAGTGACAGTAGCATAAAGTGACAGTCATTAGGTCAGAGGTGCGAGGTCAGAGGTGGATTATAAAGTGTTCAAGAGTCCAACAGCAGAGGGGAAGAAACTGTTCTTATGGAGGTTCTAGTCCTGATGGACCGCAGCCTCCTGCCTGAGGGGAGTGGTTGGAATAGTCCATGTGCAGGTGAGAGGGGAGTGGAGGTGGAGGAGGTGATGGAGGAGGTGATGGAGGAGGGGATGGAGGAGGGGATGGAGGGGGTGATGGAGGAGGGATGGAGGAGGGGATGGGAGGAGGGGATGGAGGAGGGGATGGAGAAGGTGATGGAGGAGGTGATGGAGGAGGTGATGGAGGAGGTGATGGAAGAAGTGATGGAGGAGGTGATGGAGGAGGTGATGGAAGAAGTGATGGAGGAGGTGATGGAGGAGGTGATGAGGAGTGGTGATGGAGGAGGTGATGGAGGAGGGGATGGAGGAGGGTGATGAGGACGGTGATGAGGAGGTGATGGAGGAGGTGATGGAGGAGGTGATGGGGAGGTGATGGAGGAGGGGATGGAGTAGGTGATGGAAGAAGTGATGGAGGAGGTGATGGAGGAGGGGATGGAGGAGGGGGATGGAGGAGGGGATGGAGGAGGTGATGGAAGAAGTGATGGAGGAGGTGATGGAGGAGGTGATGGAGGAGGGATGGAGGTGATGAGGAGGTGATGGAGGAGGTGATGGAGGAGGGATGGAGGAGGGGATGGAGGAGGTGATGAGGAGGTGATGAGGAGGTGATGGAGGAGGTGATGGGGGAGGTGATGGGGGATGGTGATGGAGGAGGGGATGGAGAAGGGGATGGAGAAGGTGATGGAGGAGGGGATGGGAGGAGGTGATGGAAGAAGTGATGGAGGAGGGGATGGAGGAGGTGATGAGGAGGTGATGGAGGAGGTGATGGAGGTGATGAGGAGGTGATGGAGGGAGGTGATGGAGGAGGGGATGGTGGAGGTGATGAGGAGGTGATGAGGAGGTGATGGAGGAGGTGATGGAGGAGGTGATGGAGGAGGTGATGGAGGAGGTGATGGGGGAGGGGATGGAGGAGGGGATGGAGAAGGGGATGGAGGAGGTGATGGAGGAGGGGATGGAGGAGGGGATGGAGGAGGTGATGAGGAGGTTATGGAGGAGGGGATGGAAGAGGTGATGGAGAAGGTGATGAGGCGGTGATGGAGCAGGTGTGGAGGAGGTGATGGAGGAGGGGATGGAGGTGATGGAGGAGGGGATGGAGGAGGTGATGGAGGAGGTGATGGAGGAGGTGATGAGGAGGGGATGGAGAGGTGATGGAGGAGGTGATGGAGGAGGTGATGGAGGAGGTGATGGAGGAGGTGATGGAGGAGGTGATGGGGGAGGGTGATGGAGGAGGGGATGGAGGAGGGGATGGAGGAGGGTGATGGAAAAAGTGATGGTGAGGTGATGGAGGAGGGGATGGAGGAGGGGATGGAGGAGGTGAGGTGATGGAAGAGTGCTGGAGGAGGTGATGGAGGAGGGGATGGAGGAGGTGATGAGGAGGTGATGGAGGAGGTGATGGAAGAAGTGATGGAGGAGGATGGAGGAGGGGATGGGAGGTGATGAGGAGGTGATGGAGGAGGGGATGGAGGAGGTGATGGAGGAGGTGATGGAGGAGGTGATGGAGGAGGTGATGGGGAGGTGATGGGGGAGGTGATGGTGAGGAGGGTGATGGAGGAGGGGATGGAGGGGGATGGAGGAGGTGATGGAGGAGGGGGATGGAGGAGGTGATGGAGGAGGGGGATGGAGGAGGTGATGAGGAGGTGATGGAGGAGGTGATGAGGAGGTGATGGAGGAGGTGATGGAGGAGGTGATGGAGGAGGGTGATGGAGGAGGGTATGGAGGAGGGATGGATGAGGTGATGGAGGAGGTGATGGAGGAGGTGATGGAGGAAGTGATGGAGGAGGGGATGGACGAGGTGATGGATGGGGAGGTGATGGAGGAGGGGATGGAGGAGGTGATGGAGGAGGTGATGGAGGAGGTGATGGACGAGGTGATGGAGGAGGTGATGAGTGGAGGAGGTGATGGAGGAGGTGATGGAGGAGGTGATGGAGGAGGTGATGAGGAGGTGATGGAGGAGGTGATGGAGAGGTGATGGAGGAGGTGATGAGGAGGTGATGGAGGAGGGATGGAGGAGGTGATGGAGGAGGTGATGAGGGAGGAGGTGATGGAGGAGGTGATGGAGGAGGTGATGAGGAGGTGATGGAGGAGGTGATGAGGAGGTGATGAGGAGGTGATGGAGGAGGTGATGGAGGAGGTGATGAGGAGGTGATGGAGGAGGTGACGATGAGGTGATGAGGAGGTGATGGAGGAGGTGATGAGGAGGTGATGGACGAGGTGATGGAGGAGGTGATGAGGAGGTGATGGAGGAGGTGATGAGGAGGTGATGGAGGAGGTGATGAGGAGGTGATGGAGGAGGGGATGGAGGAGGTGATGGAGGAGGTGATGGAGGAGGGGATGGAGGAGGTGATGAGGAGGTGATGGACGAGGGGATGGAGGAGGTGATGAGGAGGTGATGAGGAGGTGATGGACGAGGTGATGGAGGAGGTGATGAGGAGGTGATGGAGGAGGTGATGAGGAGGTGATGGAGGAGGTGATGAGGAGGTGATGAGGAGGTGATGAACGAGGTGATGGAGGAGGTGATGAGGAGGTGATGAGGAGGTGATGGAGGAGGTGATGAGGTGATGAGGAGGTGATGGACGAGGTGATGGAGGAGGTGATGAGGAGGTGATGGAGGAGGTGATGAGGAGGTGATGGAGGAGGTGATGAGGAGGTGATGGAGGAGGTGATGAGGAGGTGATGGAGGAGGTGATGAGGAGGTGATGGAGGAGGGGATGGAGGAGGTGATGGAGGAGGTGATGGAGGAGGTGATGGAGGAGGGGATGGAGGAGGTAATGGAGGAGGTGATGGAGGAGGTGATGGAGGAGGGGATGGAGGAGGTGATGGAGGAGGTGATGGAGGAGGTGATGGAGGAGGTGATGAGGAGGTGATGGAGGAGGGGATGGAGGAGGTGATGAGGAGGTGATGAGGAGGTGATGGAGGAGGTGATGGGGGAGGTGATGGGGGAGGTGATGGAGGAGGGGATGGAGAAGGGGATGGAGGAGGTGATGGAGGAGGGGATGGAGGAGGTGATGGAGGAGGGGATGGAGGAGGTGATGAGGAGGTGATGGAGGAGGTGATGAGGAGGTGATGGAGGAGGTGATGAGGAGGTGATGGAGGAGGTGATGGAGGAGGGTATGGAGGAGGGGATGGATGAGGTGATGGAGGAGGTGATGGAGGAGGTGATGGAGGAAGTGATGGAGGAGGGGATGGACGAGGTGATGGAGGAGGTGATGGAGGAGGGGATGGAGGAGGTGATGGAGGAGGTGATGAGGAGGTGATGGACGAGGTGATGGAGGAGGTGATGAGGAGGTGATGGAGGAGGGGATGGAGGAGGTGATGGAGGAGGTGATGAGGAGGTGATGGAGGAGGTGATGGACGAGGTGATGGAGGAGGTGATGAGGAGGTGATGGAGGAGGGGATGGAGGAGGTGATGGAGGAGGTGATGAGGAGGTGATGGAGGAGGTGATGGAGGAGGTGATGCGGAGGTGATGGAGGAGGTGATGAGGAGGTGATGAGGAGGTGATGGACGAGGTGATGGAGGAGGTGATGAGGAGGTGATGGAGGAGGTGACGATGAGGTGATGAGGAGGTGATGGAGGAGGTGATGAGGAGGTGATGGACGAGGTGATGGAGGAGATGATGAGGAGGTGATGGAGGAGGTGATGAGGAGGTGATGGAGGAGGTGATGAGGAGGTGATGGAGGAGGGGATGGAGGAGGTGATGGAGGAGGTGATGGAGGAGGGGATGGAGGAGGTGATGAGGAGGTGATGGACGAGGGGATGGAGGAGGTGATGAGGAGGTGATGAGGAGGTGATGGACGAGGTGATGGAGGAGGTGATGAGGAGGTGATGGAGGAGGTGATGAGGAGGTGATGGAGGAGGTGATGAGGAGGTGATGAGGAGGTGATGAACGAGGTGATGGAGGAGGTGATGAGGAGGTGATGAGGAGGTGATGGAGGAGGTGATGAGGTGATGAGGAGGTGATGGACGAGGTGATGGAGGAGGTGATGAGGAGGTGATGGAGGAGGTGATGAGGAGGTGATGGAGGAGGTGATGAGGAGGTGATGGAGGAGGTGATGAGGAGGTGATGGAGGAGGTGATGAGGAGGTGATGGAGGAGGGGATGGAGGAGGTGATGGAGGAGGTGATGGAGGAGGTGATGGAGGAGGGGATGGAGGAGGTAATGGAGGAGGTGATGGAGGAGGTGATGGAGGAGGGGATGGAGGAGGTGATGGAGGAGGTGATGGAGGAGGTGATGGAGGAGGTGATGAGGAGGTGATGGAGGAGGGGATGGAGGAGGTGATGAGGAGGTGATGGACGAGGTGATGGACGAGGTGATGGAGGAGGTGATGGACGAGGTGATGGACGAGGTGATGGAGGAGGTGATGAGGAGGTGATGGAGGAGGTGATGGAGGAGGGGATGGAGGAGGTGATGAGGAGGTGATCGACGAGGTGGAGGACGAGGTGATGGAGGAGGTGATGAGGAGGTGATGAGGAGGTGATGGAGGAGGTGATGAGGAGGTGATGAGGAGGTGATGGAGGAGGTGATGGAGGAGGGGATGGAGGAGGTGATGGAGGAGGTGACGAGGAGGTGATGGAGGAGGTGATGAGGAGGTGATGGAGGAGGTGATGGAGGAGGTGATGAGGAGGTGATGGAGGAGGTGATGAGGAGGTGATGAGGAGGTGATGAGGAGGTGATGGAGGAGGTGATGAGGAGGTGATGAGGAGGTGATGGACGAGGTGATGGAGGAGGTGATGGAGGAGGGGATGGAGGAGGTGATGGAGGAGGTGATGAGGAGGTGATGAGGAGGTGATGAGGAGGTGATGGAGGAGGTGATGAGGAGGTGATGGAGGAGGTGAGGAGGAGGTGATGGAAGAAGTGATGGAGGAGGTGATGGGGGAGGTGATGGAGGAGGGGATGGAGGAGGTGATGGAGGAGGGGATGGAGGAGGGGATGGAGGAGGTGATGGAAGAAGTGATGGAGGAGGTGATGGAGGAGGGGAGGGAGGAGGTGATGAGGAGGTGATGGAGGAGGTGATGGAAGAAGTGATGGAGGAGGTGATGGAGGAGGGGATGGAGGTGATGAGGAGGTGATGGAGGAGGTGATGGAGGAGGGGATGGAGGAGGTGATGGAAGAAGTGATGGAGGAGGTGATGGAGGAGGTGATGGAGGAGGGGATGGAGGTGATGAGGAGGTGATGGAGGACGTGATGGAGGAGGGGATGGAGGAGGGGATGGAGGTGATGAGGAGGTGATGGAGGAGGTGATGGAGGAGGGGATGGAGGAGGGGATGGAGGAGGTGATGAGGAGGTGATGGAGGAGGTGATGAGGAGGTGATGGAGGAGGTGATGGAGGAGGTGATGGAGGAGGTGATGGGGGAGGTGATGGAGGAGGTGATGGAGGAGGGGATGGAGGAGGTGATGGAGGAGGGGATGGAGGAGGGGATGGAGGAGGTGATGGAGGAGGGGATGGAGGAGGTGATGAGGAGGTGATGGAGGAGGGGATGGAGGAGGTGATGGAGGAGGGGATGGATGAGGTGATGGAGGAGGTGATGGAGGAGGTGATGGAGGAGGGGATGGAGGAGGGGATGGAGGAGGGGATGGAGGAGGGGATGGAGGAGGTGATGGAGGAGGTGATGGACAAGGTGATGGAGGAGGTGATGGAGGAGGTGATGGAGGAGGTGATGGACGAGGTGATGGAGGAGGGGATGGACGAGGTGATGGAGGAGGTGATGGAGGAGGGGATGGAGGAGGTGATGGAGGAGGTGATGGACGAGGTGATGGACGAGGTGATGGAGGAGGTGATGGAGGAGGTGATGAGGAGGTGATGGAGGAGGTGATGGAGGAGGTGATGTACGAGGTGATGGACGAGGTGATGAGGAGGTGATGGAGGAGGTGATGGAGGAGGTGATGGAGGAGGGGATGGAGGAGGTGATGGAGGAGGTGACGAGGAGGTGATGAGGTGATGGAGGAGGTGATGAGGAGGTGATGGAGGAGGTGATGAGGAGGTGATGGAGGAGGTTATGAGGAGGTGATGGACGAGGTGATGGAGGAGGTGATGAGGAGGTGATGAGGAGGTGATGGAGGAGGTGATGAGGAGGTGATGAGGAGGTGATGGACGAGGTGATGGAGAGGTGATGGAGGAGGTGATGGAGGAGGTGATGGAGGAGGTGATGAGGAGGTGATGGAGGAGGTGATGGAGGAGGTGATGAGGAGGTGATGGACGAGGTGATGGAGGAGGTGATGAGGAGGTGATGGAGGAGGGGGGATGGAGGAGGTGATGGAGGAGGTGATGGAGGAGGGGATGGAGGAGGTGATGGAGGAGGGGATGGAGGAGGTGATGGAGGAGGTGATGGAGGAGGTGATGGAGGAGGGGATGAAGGAGGTGATGAGGAGGTGATGGAGGAGGGGATGGAGGAGGTGATGGAGGAGGTGATGGAGGAGGGGATGGAGGAGGAGATGGAGGAGGTGATGGAGGAGGTGATGGAGGAGGTGATGGAGGAGGGGATGGAGGAGGAGATGGAGGAGGTGATGGAGGAGGTGATGGAGGAGGTGATGGAGGAGGTGATGGAGGAGGTGATGGAGGAGGTGATGGAGGAGGGGATGGAGGAGGAGATGGAGGAGGTGATGGAGGAGGGGATGGAGGAGGTGATGGAGGAGGTGATGGAGGAGGTGATGGAGGAGGGGATGGAGGAGGTGATGGAGGAGGTGACGAGGAGGTGATGAGGTGATGGAGGAGGTGATGGAGGAGGTGATGAGGAGGTGATGGAGGAGGTTATGAGGAGGTGATGGACGAGGTGATGGAGGAGGTGATGAGGAGGTGATGAGGAGGTGATGGAGGAGGTGATGAGGAGGTGATGAGGAGGTGATGGACGAGGTGATGGAGGAGGTGATGGAGGAGGTGATGGAGGAGGTGATGAGGAGGTGATGAGGAGGTGATGGAGGAGGTGATGGAGGAGGTGATGAGGAGGTGATGGACGAGGTGATGGAGGAGGTGATGAGGAGGTGATGGAGGAGGGGATGGAGGAGGTGATGGAGGAGGTGATGGAGGAGGGGATGGAGGAGGTGATGGAGGAGGGGATGGAGGAGGTGATGGAGGAGGTGATGGAGGAGGTGATGGAGGAGGGGATGAAGGAGGTGATGAGGAGGTGATGGAGGAGGGGATGGAGGAGGTGATGGAGGAGGTGATGGAGGAGGGGATGGAGGAGGAGATGGAGGAGGTGATGGAGGAGGTGATGGAGGAGGGGATGGAGGAGGAGATGGAGGAGGTGATGGAGGAGGTGATGGAGGAGGTGATGGAGGAGGTGATGGAGGAGGGGATGGAGGAGGAGATGGAGGAGGTGATGGAGGAGGGGATGGAGGAGGTGATGGAGGAGGTGATGGAGGAGGTGATGGAGGAGGTGATGGAGGAGGTGATGGAGGAGGTGATGGAGGAGGGGATGGAGGAGGAGATGGAGGAGGTGATGGAGGAGGGGATGGAGGAGGTGATGGAGGAGGTGATGGAGGAGGTGATGGTCGGCTTCCACTAGAGGTCCTGTCTACAAAACCTTCACACAGTTACAGTAAGTAATGTTTTTTATATAGCGCACTGTTACAGACCAAGGGACAGACCCAAAGCACTTTACAATGTTCAAGGATATTGTTCCATTCCCTCCAGACGGTGATGAAGCGAGACCTGAACACACTGGTCCATCAAAGCCTCCGACCAAACACCATCCAATCCCTCATTATATTCAGACTATTGTACATGTTTTTAGTGGTAGGAGAAACTGGAGCACCTGGAGGAAACCTACGCAGACACAGGGAGAGCTCCACTCCCAAAGGTCTTGTTCTGAACGTCAAACACAGGACGTTCTTGCCGAGCAGCGAGAGCGCTAACCACTCAGCCACCGTGTCAAAGTAATCAATGTGTTAATCGCTAAATGGCAATTAAAAAATATCTTTCAGACCAACGAGCGACCTGCTCCGCCCCTTCATCACCTGTGCTACTTTTATCTCTATTTTTATTAGTTTTTCCCTACAAATGTCTGGTTGGTGTAAAAGGGCAGTTCTAGTAAAACAGTTGTGTTGATGGTGTCAGTGGATCCTTCTGGTTTAAATGACCGAATCTTTGGTACCATCAGTAAAAAGTCCACGAACCTCCAGAGATTAGTCTTTTCTGAAATCTTCGACTGTATTTTCACCAACTCCATTCTCAATAAAACAAACTATGTCCATGTTTGTTGTTGTTGAAATAGTGCTGGCTCAGTTGTGTAAGCGACTTTTTAGTACTACACTAGTGCGCACGTGTGTTAGCGCGTCACTTATGGTTTGTGGTTCTCGATAAACAAACAGGGACCTCACTTTTCTAGAGATTCTCTGACTACAATCTGCCTCTTTCTGTCTCTGTCATCCTTGTTTGGTTCGCTACAGTTGCTTTGGCGGCTAACTCTTATGCTAACTAATGCTACACTGCTAACAGAGGTCTTTAGCATCCTTGTTGAGTTTCTTCCTGTAGGATTTCTTCTCGTTCTTATTCTAAACGTCCATTTTTCTGACTGCTCTCTGACGGCTTGATTGACAGCTGCTTCCCTCAAAATGGCCCCGGACGCACTTTGGTCACGTGACTAACAGAGCCGTTCTGTTTCACCTCGTCTGAACGTTGGAAGTGATCAGAAGCTTGCCTTAAAAGCGCCAAATGATAACGTTTCTCCCAGACGTGGGATGGATGTGACAGAACGCACTGTTGTGGAGTTTGTGTTGAAACAGACGGCGGCTCCTTCTGGATCAGAACGAAAACGGTGACAGAGAAACTGTTCTGCTGCTTTAGAATTCAAGAAACTTAATCAAAGTAGAAAATAGAGATGATTTACACAAGCCCTGTTCAGGTCAAAGAAATGGTAGAATTTCACAGACTTAAACAAAATGTCTCAGTTTAGTAATAAGCTAGAACAATATCTTTAATAAAAATAATAAAAATAGGTGGCGCCACAATTTCGTTTTGTGCATTTGAAAGAGTTTACTTAAGAATGAGTTGAAACTTCATGTGTTTGGCACTAACATAGACCTGGTGTCGTGCTCTGCCTCTTGCAGGTGAAAGCCAGATCCCTCAGACCTCTGAAGCTAAGCAGGGCAAGGCTTGGTCAGTGCTGTGATGGGAGACCTCTAGGAACACCACAGTGGGGCAGGGATTGAAGAGCAGTGACTTTGTTAACCCTAAAACTAAATATCATCTCTTTCAAACGTCGGGAAAAGCAGCTGTAGATTCTCTCTCTGACCAGGATTCAAACCCAGGACATACTGTATTTGCTGAGAAGTGAGAATGCTAACCACCCAGCCACCGTACCACCAACACAATTGACTATTATGTGTATTATAAATGTCGGCACCTGAGCTCTTGTCCAACCCCAGTCTTGTGTTTGTCGGTCTAACGTCTAACTTGAGCCTAATTGTTGAGCTGAACATAGAGAATATTGACCTTTCGCCCACAACAACAATGTAAATTCTGTGTCAGAGGTTCTTATCTGTTTGGAAACGCTGCTGTATATGTTGTGTTTTCCTCAGAGGTGAAGGCCACTGGGCTCATGTGTGTCTATGACTCAGCAGATTCTTCAGAGCGAGGCCAGAGAGGACGGTGGGATCTCGCTGCTGCTCCAAAGGATGTCATTAGCGTCGCTGCGATGGGGTCGTTAGACACTCAGAGCCGTAGGAACAAATTAAACCCTTTACAAAAGCTCACATTGTGGCCTGGATTAACTTACGGAGCTCCTTCAGGACACGGCTTTACTGAGAGATAAGGACCGAATGTACCGTTAGAACGATAAAGTTATGTTCAAACAGGAACAGACTGTGATCGATGAGTCCCGACCTCAGACTGTAATTATCTGTTTATTCAGGTCTGGCCACGATGAGAACGGTCTCGCCGCTAGTTTCTTTTAGGATCATTTAAAAATCCTTGTCCTAATTTGTTTTTCCCTGTATGGTCCGACTCTTGCATAAGTGACTTTCTCTCTGAGGGTGTTGGACCGGAGGACACCGATCCACATGGGAGACAAGGCCATGAGTGACAGGGGAGACAAGGCCATGAGTGACAGGGGAGACAAGGCCATGAGTGACAGGGGAGACAAGGCCATGAGTGACAGGGGAGACAAGGCCATGAGTGACAGGGGAGACAAGGCCATGAGTGGGAGAGGGCGATATGGACAAAAAGAATTATCTAAATAAATAACAATATTGTCATGATATCTTTAAAATCAATCATTTTTACACAAAAGGATCTTAATGTTTTGCTGCCAGGGCATCTATAGAGACAGTGTAGATCAAAATAGCAGCTTTTTATTTGTAAAGTGCTTCACTTCTTTGCAAAACATGCACAAACATATATTAACATTAAAAATCAAATTCCAGTAACACGGGACGAAAACATCCAAAAAGGCTCAATATTTACTGAATGTACAAATAAAGCAGTGATTGGCTTTTTAGGCCCACATTTGACGAATGGGCATCGTGCCTGCTGTATTTATAATGTGTATTGGAGATATGTTAAAATAAATAAACGATAATGCAAAAAAAGCATTTCTTCAAATTCACTTTTGGGATATTATTGTCTACAACAAATATCCCCCCCCCCCCAAGCCATGGGTCCTCCCTCCACCACACACCTGTACTTAATAATAATAATAATAATAATAATAATGCAGCGCTTTTCTGGACTCTCAAAGTCTCTTCACATCAAACACAGGTGATAAACTACTGTAGCCACAGCTGCCCTGGGGCACACTGACAGAAGCGAGGCAACCAGTCTGTGCCATCGGCCCCTCCCACCACCACCAACCATTCACACACACACCAGACTCATTCTAATGTGGCGGAAGTGTCTTGCCTAAGGACACAACCACAGTTTGGCACTTTACAGCCGCCCCACTGTGGCACCTGCTGTTCCCAGAGGTTAAGTGTCTTGCCAAAGGACACAACGACAGCAGACAGAAGGAGTCAATGGTGAAAGTGAGGTGGTCTCGAACTCACGACCCTCTGGCTCAAAGGCCAAGGCTCTACCAACTGAGCTACTGTCGCCCTACTTAGTTTATAACATTATTTATTTTACTGCCTTCTGGACAGGACTCCTTGAAAAAGAGGTTCTTAATCTCAAAGGGATGTTTCCCGGTTAAATAAAAGTTAAATAGAAAATAAGGCTAAAATATATTATTTATTTATTTATTTGAGAATCTGTTCAAACATAACATATTTAACTCACAGTTGGTCAATAAAATAAAACATATTATAATTTTGACACGGAGTAGGAGGAAGTTTAAAACCTGTGGAATCAGGTTGTAATCTCAGTCCTGTTCGTGCTGCAACCCTCCTCCTCCCCGTCACCGCCTCATGTTATTGGTTCAGCTCATCAGGGTTTAGGCCCAGGGGTCGCAAGCCTCTATTCTTATTCAATTCCCAGCATGCAATATTTCTGCCAGAGTCTAATTGAATAATTGAGTGTTTATTTAGTTTGAGTTCAACCCCGCCCCCCGTGACTCCACCCCTATGACTCCGCCCCCTTATGACCCCGCCCCCTATGACCACAGATGAAAATTGGCCATGGCTACAATCTGACGTGTCGACAAATATGATTAACCATAATTATGGATAAAGTAACATCCTGTCCCTGTCAAATAAATAAATAAAAATCAATTCTAAGGTTTTTTTGAATTTAACCAATTTCATCCACATTTTTGGACAACCTCCTCCACTGTTCACACACAAATAACCAGCCGTTTGGTTTCAATTGTAAATCTGTAATAAATATTGTTTTTCTAAACCTAGACCTGTTTCATTTCTAACAAAACAGACGCAGGTGTTTTTTACTGATCCATGAGATAAACTTCCATCATCCTCAGATACCATCGTTTCAGAAGCAGCTCGTTATCGCTGCGCAGCCAATTATCAACTCACCGTTAATGAAGCTGTCAACACAAAAAGACCACACCAGGCGACAAACACACACAGAGACACACAGAGACACAAACACACACCAGAGACACAAACACACACAGAGACACACAGAGACACAAACACACACAGAGACACAAACAGACACACACACACTGAGACACACACAGACTCACACACACTGAGACACACAGAGACACAAACAGACACACACACACAGAGACACACACAGACTCACACACACTGAGATACACACAGACTCACACACACTGAGACACACACAGACTCACACACACTGAGACAAACACACTTTTTTCAGGGAGGTGGGAAAGAGGAAAGAAAGAAAGATAGAAAAACAGGACCTGGACCATGGACCACGACAGTCCGGACCACGACAGTCCGGACCACGACAGTCCGGACCACGACAGTCCGGACCATGGACCACGACAGTCCGGACCATGGACCACGACAGTCCAGACCACGACAGTCCGGACCATGGACCACGACAGTCCAGACCACGACAGTCCGGACCATGGACCACGACAGTCCAGACCACGACAGTCCGGACCATGGACCACGACAGTCCGGACCATGGACCACAACAGTCCGGACCACGACAGTCCGGACCACGACAGTCCAGACCATGGACCACGACAGTCCGGACCACGACATTCCGGACCATGGACCACGACAGTCCGGACCACAACAGTCCGGACCATGGACCACGACAGTCCAGACCACGACAGTCTGGACCATGGACCACGACAGTCCAGACCACGACAGTCCAGACCATGGACCACAACAGTCCAGACCATGGACCACGACAGTCCGGACCACGACAGTCCGGACCATGGACCACGACAGTCCGGACCACGACAGTCCGGACCATGGACCACGACAGTCCGGACCATGAACCACGACAGTCTGGACCATGAACCACGACAGTCTGGACCATGGACCACGACAGTCCGGACCATGAACCACTACAGTCCGGACCATGAACCACTACAATATGGACCATGGACCACAAGACCATGAACCTCGACAGTCCGGACCATGACAGTCTGGACCATGAACCACTACAATATGGACCATGGACCACAAGACCATGAACTTCGACAGTCCGGACCATGACAGTCTGGACCATGAACCACTACAATATGGACCATGGACCACAAGACCATGAACCTCGACAGTCCGGACCATGACAGTCTGGACCATGAACCTCGACAGTCCGGACCATGGACCTCGACAGTCTGGACCATGGACCACGACAGTCTGGACCATGGACCTCGACAGTCCGGACCATGGACCACGACAGTCCGGACCATGGACCACGACAGTCTAGACCACGACAGTCTGGACCATGGACCACGACAGTCTGGACCATGGACCACGACAGTCCGGACCATGGACCACGACAGTCCGGACCATGAACCACGACAGTCCGGACCATGAACCACGACAGTCTGGACCATGGACCATGACAGTCCGGACCATGAACCACTTCAATATGGACCATGGACCACAAGACCATGAACCTCGACAGTCCGGACCATGACAGTCTGGACCATGAACCTCGACAGTCCGGACCATGGACCTCGACAGTCTGGACCATGGACCACGACAGTCTGGACCATGGACCTCGACACTCCGGACCATGGACCACGACAGTCCGGACCATGGACCACGACAGTCCGGACCATGGACCAGGACAGTCCGGACCATGGACCACGACAGTCTAGACCACGACAGTCCGGACCATGGACCACAACAGTCTGGACCATGGACCACGACAATCTGGACCATGGACCACGACAGTCCGGACCATGAACCACGACAGTCCGGACCATGAACCACGACAGTCCGGACCATGAACCACGACAGTCTGGACCATGGACCATGACAGTTCGGACCATGAACCACTACAATATGGACCATGGACCACAAGACCATGAACTTCGACAGTCCGGACCATGGACCACGACAGTCCGGACCATGGACCACGACAGTCCATGGAAACACAATCAGGTTAGAACTGCTGGACTTAACAATACAAAGACTGTTACTACTAATACCACCACTACTGTTACTACTGTTACTACTGTTACTACTGTTACTCTAAATGACTAAACTAAGAGTAGAATCTGACTTTTGACTCCTGCTGCTGCTAAAAGTGTTAGAACTAGAGAATATAACTGAATAACTAATGTTAATGCTAAAAACAAGGCTAACGCTAACGACCATACGATTGTGTCTCCTCTGAACATTGTAAAGTGCTTTGGGTGACCTTGGTCAATGTCCATAAATATTTTCTACTATACTATACTCTCTACGATACTTTACACTATATACTACTGTAGTAACTAGTACTTGGTTTTCTGGTTGAAAAACAAGAAGATTCAGCTCAAAACCATGCGCAGTATTTAACCGTCATAGATGTTTGTGACAGAAAACGGCTGCTTTTCAAACGTGCAGATGAAGTGAAATATGGCACACGAGGAAACGCCACAGCTCCTTTGGTTTAAGGGAAAATACTGTGTTTTCATGTTTTTCTTGGATCTTTGTCTTTGAGCCTTTCACACAAACATAACACGAACAAATACAGTTCTTTTTACTGGTTCTTTCCTCTGGGTCACACCGGATAATGCTGCTCATAATGTACTGTATAAGTGTAAATGCACAGACATGTAGATACCACCTTAATGTCCTTGTGCCCTTTGGCAGATTTCTGTTTTCACATTTCTCCAAGAGCAATTGTAGTTCATCCATCCATTTTCTTCCACTTTATCCGTTGCCGGGTCGCGGGGGCAGTCTGAGAAAGGCGTGACCATGGCCATGGTTGGTTAGGGAGATCGTCATGACGCTGTGGTTAAAACTAGCATGAAACTCTGCACGAGGTCGTTACTGGTGGATGCTGTGTGACTCGTTGTACCATCTGACTGTATGTGTGGAGTTTGTATAACGTTGGTCAACAAAGCAGCGTCTGAAGGATTCACTTTCATGATCAGCGGCGACATTCATGGATCATAAATGTGTAGATCGTCAGTGGCTCCAGCTCTCGGGTCATAACTGAGAAGAAGAAGAAGAAGAAGGAGAAGAAGAAAAAGAAAAAGACTGGCTTTGTACATTTTTCTTTCTCTTTCTGTAGTTTATTTATGTCTTGGGTTATATTTTTTTTATGAAACTATCTTTTTAATTTTGAAATGAGAGTTCAGTTCTACCCTTTTGTGAAATCCAAATTAGAACAGACAGACTGGTCTTGTATTGGTCTTGGACAGATCCCAGACTGGTCCTGGACTGGTCTTGGCGTGGTCTTGGACCGGTCCTGGACTGGTCTAGTTGCATGATCATGTCTCATCTGTGTTCGTTAGATCAATCCCTGAGAAACTGATCTATTCTTTTTCCCAGAATTTCTAACTTTCCTCAAATCTTTTCAGCCTCGTGTTAAAGTCCAGGGTTTTCCCTCAGTGTCATATCTCTGGTCTGTCCCTGGTCTCTGGTCTCTGGTCTCTGGCCCATGGTCTGATCCATGGTCCTCATGGTCATATCTGAGACTCTCCTCGGCCAAAGCGGCGCCACTCTGCACCGCGACCGGGGCATTGAACCTGCAGCAGCTACACACACATACACAATATACACACACACACACACAAACATATACACACAATATACACACATACACAAACACATACATACATATACAATATACACACACATATATGTGTTTGTGTGTTTATGAATGTGTATGTGTGTGTGTATATATACTCACGCACGCACACACACACATACAGTATATACACACACACACACACACACACGTATTCACACAGATATTTACGCTCAGCTCAAAGTGTGTGTGTCCTAATGTTACATAACATGTGTGTGGTTCCAGAGAGAGAGACCAGAGAGAGACCAGAGAGAGACCAGAGAGAGAGACCAGAGAGAGACCAGAGAGAGACCAGAGAGAGACCAGAGAGAGAGACCAGAGAGAGACCAGAGAGAGACCAGAGAGAGAGACCAGAGAGAGACCAGAGAGAGAGACCAGAGAGAGACCAGAGAGAGACCAGAGAGAGAGACCAGAGAGAGACCAGCGAGAGACCAGAGAGAGAGACCAGAGAGAGACCAGAGAGAGACCAGAGAGAGAGAGAGAGACCAGAGAGTGAGACCAGAGAGAGACCAGAGAGAGACAAGAGAGAGAGACCAGAGAGAGAGAGAGAGAGAGAGAGAGACCAGAGAGAGAGACCAGAGAGAGACCAGAGAGAGACCAGAGAGAGAGACCAGAGAGAGACCAGAGAGAGACCAGAGAGAGAGACCAGAGAGAGAGACCAGAGAGAGACCAGAGAGAGACCAGACCTCTCTGGGCTCTCTCTGACTGGGCTCCACACAGCACACAGGTACAGGACAAAGGTACAGGACAAAGGTACAGGACCGGCCTCTCTGGCAGACTGCTGGACCAGCAGGACTCCGATGGAACCCAGTGAGGTCTGTGGAGGCTGCAGAGAACCAGAGGAAGCGGCTCATCAACAGCAGCTGCACCAATTTAATGTATTCTTGTATCGCCCAAAATCACAACAATAGTTTTCTCTGAGGACTTTAGTAAACTGTCGATTCTCCAACACAGATCAGACAATCAGACTGATGAAACACACGAAATGCAACGATAACAAACACACAGAGACATTGGTCCTGGGTCTACAGCCTCAGTCCTGGGTCTACACCCTCAGTCCTGGATCTACAGCCTCAGTCCTGGATCTACAGCCTCAGTCCTGGATCTACAGCCTCAGTCCTGGAGCTACAGCCTCAGTCCTGGATCTACAGCCTCAGTCCTGGGTCTAAAGCCTCAATCCTGGGTCTACAGCCTCAGTCCTGGGTCTACAGCCTCTGTCCTGGGTCTACAGCCTCAGTCCTGGGTCCACAGCCTCAGTCCTGGGTCTACACCCTCAGTCCTGGATCTACAGCCTCAGTCCTGGGTCTAAAGCCTCAATCCTGGGTCTACAGCCTCAGTCCTGGGTCTACAGCCTCAGTCCTGGATCTACAGCCTCAGTCCTGGATCTACAGCCTCAGTCCTGGATCTACAGCCTCAGTCCTGGGTCTACAGCCTCAGTCCTGGATCTACAGCCTCAGTCCTGGATCTACAGCCTCAGTCCTGGATCTACAGCCTCAATCCTGGGTCTACAGCCTCAGTCCTGGGTCTACAGCCTCAGTCCTGGGTCTACAGCCTCAGTCCTGGGTCTACAGCCTCAGTCCTGGGTCCACAGCCTCAGTCCTGGGTCTACAGCTTCAGTCCTGGGTCTACAGCCTCAGTCCTGGGTCTACAGCCTCAGTCCTGGGTCTACAGCCTCAGTCCTGGGTCTACAGCCTCAGTCCTGGGTCTACAGCCCGTGCGTGTGTCCCAGAGAGGAGAGAACGTCCAGGGTCAAAGTTCAGCCACCTCAAACACAGACAGGACACACAGGCGCCTCACTCGCTCTGACTCGTTACGGTCTGCTCTGGAGACAGAAGAACGAATGTTTATCTCTGTCTGGCGTCAGTTTGTCCACAACATGTGAGTTTTGGATCCCTCTCTCTGCATCAAAGTCACCTCCGGAAACAAAGTCCTGGACCAGAGAGAGACCAGAGAGAGACCAGAGAGAGACCAGAGAGAGACCAGAGAGAGACCAGAGAGAGACCAGAGAGAGACCAGAGAGAGACCAGAGAGAAACCAGAGTGAGACCAGAGAGAGACCAGAGAGAGACCAGAGAGAGATCAGAGTGAGACCAGAGTGAGACCAGAGTGAGACCAGAGAGAGACCAGAGAGAGACCAGAGAGAGATCAGAGTGAGACCAGAGTGAGACCAGAGAGGGACCAGAGTGAGACCAGAGAGAGACCAGAGTGAGACCAGAAAAAGTGAATGATGAATTTTACACATTTTGAGCCTATGGTGAAATCTGTGGTGTTCAAATATGGGTCATTTTGCTCGGCAACGGATAAAGCAGAAGAAAATGGATGGATGTTGTAACTTGACTCTAGAAGCAGTTTTCATCTTAAATACTCCATATAAGTACTGTCAAAACTCCATATAAGTACTGTCAATACTCCATATAAGTACTGTCAATACTCCATACACCATATAAGTACTATAAATACTCCATATAAGTACTGTAAATACTCCATATAAGTACTATAAATACTCCATATAAGTACTGTCAATACTCCATATAAGTACTATAAATACTCAATATAAGTACTGTAAATACTCCATATAAGTACTATAAATACTCCATATAAGTACTGTCAATACTCCATATAAGTACTGTCAATACTCCATATAAGTACTGTCAATACTCCATATAAGTACTGTCAATGCTCCATGTAAGTACTGTCAATACTCCATATAAGTACTGTCAATACTCCATGTAAGTACTGTCAATACTCAATGTAAGTACTGTCAATACTCCATATAAGTACTGTCAATACTCCATGTAAGTACTGTCAATACTCCATATAAGTACTGTCAATACTCCATATAAGTACTGTCAATACTCCATATAAGTACTATAAATACTCCATATAAGTACTGTCAATACTCCATATAAGTACTGTCAATACTCCATATAAGTACTATAAATACTCCATATAAGTACTATAAATACTCAATATAAGTACTGTAAATACTCAGTACTTTGGTCTCTCACTAATCTAATCACATGTTGAAGTATTTGTATAATGGTTGATCACGTGACGACTGATATTTCATAAATAAATGAAAAACCAGCACAGCTTCTCGTGAGTCTTTGGGTTAAACACAGTAACTTTGCTGGTCTCTGTCAGAAAGAACAAGATCAAACATTAACACAGATACACAAAAGTAAATTCAGAACAACAAAAACACACACACTAAAGGATGTGAGGAAACTCTCTACAAAGTTCATGGATTTTGTTTAAGGCTTCAGAGGTTTGTGTAGCTTTGACTGAGGTGATGGTCCGACTTCTTACTGCTGGTGTCGCTGACTGCTGGTGTCGCCGACTGCTGGTGTCGCCGACTGCTGGTGTCGCCGACTGCTGGTGTCGCCGACTGCTGGTGTCGCCGACTGCTGGTGTCACGACTACTGCTGGTGTCACCGACTGCTGGTGTTTCCGACTGCTGGTGTCGCCGACTGCTGGTGTCGCCGACTGCTGGTGTCACGACTACTGCTGGTGTCACGCCGACTGCTGGTGTCGCCAACTGCTGGTGTCGCCGACTGCTGGTGTCGCTGACTGCTGGTGTCACGACTGCTGGTGTCACAACTGCTGGTGTCGCTGACTGCTGGTGTCACGACTGATGGTCTCGCCGACTGCTGGTGTCACGACGACTGCTGGTGTCACGACTACTGCTTGTGTCACGCCGACTGCTGGTGTCGCCGACTGCTGGTGTTGCCGACTGCTGGTATCACGACTGCTGGTGTCGCCGACTGCTGGTGTCACGACTGCTGGTGTCACGACTGCTGGTGTCGCTGACTGCTGGTGTCGCTGACTGCTGGTGTCACAACTGCTGGTGTCGCTGACTGCTGGTGTTGCTGACTGCTGGTGTCACGACTGCTGGCGTCGCCGACTGCTGGTGTCACGCCCCGACTGCTGGTGTCGCCGACTGCTGGTGTCACGACTACTGCTGGTGTCACCGACTGATGGTGTCGCCGACTGCTGGTGTCGCTGACTGCTGGTGTCGCTGACTGCTGGTGTCACGACTGCTGGTGTTGCCGACTGCTGGTGTCACGACTACTGCTGGTGTCGCCGACTGCTGGTCACGACTACTGCTGGTGTCACGACTACTGCTGGTGTCACCGACTGCTGGTGTCGCCGACTGCTGGTGTCACGACTGCTGGTGTCGCCGACTGCTGGTGTCGCTGACTGCTGGTGTCGCTGACTGCTGGTGTCACGACTGCTGGTGTCGCCGACTGCTGGTGTCACAACTACTGCTGGTGTCGCCGACTGCTGGTCACGACTATTGCTGGTGTCACGACTACTGCTGGTGTCACCGACTGCTGGTGTCGCCGACTGCTGGTGTCACTGCTGGTGTCACGACTGATGGTCTTGCCGACTGCTGGTGTCACGACTGATGGTGTCACCGACTGCTGGTGTCACGAATGCTGGTGTCACGACTGATGGTGTCACCGACTGCTGGTGTCACGAATGCTGGTGTCACCGACTGATGGTGTCACCGACTGATGGTGTCACGACTGCTGGTGTCGCCGACTGCTGGTGTCACGACTGATGGTGTCACCGACTGCTGGTATCAGGACTGATGGTGTCACCGACTGCTGGTGTCACAAATGCTGGTGTCACCGACTGATGGTGTCACCGACTGATGGTGTCGCCGTCTGATGGTGTCGCCGACTGATGGTGTCGCCGACTGCTGGTGTCACGACTGCTGGTGTCACGACTGCTGGTGTCACGACTGATGGTCTTGCCGACTGCTGGTGTCACGACTGATGGTGTCACCGACTGCTGGTGTCACGAATGCTGGTATCACGACTGATGGTGTCACCGACTGCTGGTGTCACGAATGCTGGTGTCACCGACTGATGGTGTCACGACTGCTGGTGTCGCCGACTGCTGGTGTCACGACTGATGGTGTCACCGACTGCTGGTATCACGACTGATGGTGTCACCGACTGCTGGTGTCACGAATGCTGGTGTCACCGACTGATGGTGTCACTGACTGATGGTGTCACCGACTGATGGTGTCGCCGACTGATGGTGTCACGACTGCTGGTGTCGCCGACTGCTGGTGTCACGACTGCTGGTGTCACCAACTGCTGGTGTCGCCGACTGCTGGTGTCACAACTGCTGGTGTCGCCGACTGCTGGTGTCACGACTGCTGGTGTCGCCGACTGCTGGTGTCACGACTGCTGGTGTCGCCGACTGCTGGTGTCACGACTGCTGGTGTCACCGACTGCTGGTGTCGCCGACTGCTGGTGTCGCCGACTGCTGGTGTCGCCGACTGCTGGTGTCACCGACTGCTGGTGTCACCGACTGATGGTGTCAGCGACTGATGGTGTCAGCGACTGCTGGTGTCAGCGACTGCTGGTGTAACCAGGCAGATCCGTCGGTCGGACCATAACAGACCGTGCTGTGGTCTCTGCAGAAGTGAGTCCCAAGTATGAGGCAAAGACTAGGCCCCCTCGTCCCCGTTGATGGTCCATGCGTCCTTCTTCCTGGTTTCAATCCCCAACCATCCATCTTTCTGTGTTTAAGTTCCTCCATGATCCATGCTGTGTTTCTGTCTTTGGCCGGGGGCTGTGGGGTTGTTCAAAGACGGAAACTTTCCATGGAATTAATGGGAATTTTTCAAACTGAGGCTCAAATGAACTCTTAAAAAAATCTGTTTATACAATTTAATCACACTACACTTTAGCTTAATATCCCACAGTAATTTACCAGAAACTTTACAGAAATTGACCAGAAATGTTCCAGAAATGTTCCGCACCTTTGCAACTCTTGGATGTTGCTGATTGTGGTCAGGTGCTAGCTTCTTAGCACTTTGGCGGTGCAGCTCTAGTGCAGCTCTAGTGCAGCTCATGTGGGAAGTTTCTTGTTAGCAGTTAGCTTGACACCGTTGGTCATTGCGACAGGACCGAGGCCCTCAGACCCGGTCTCCAGACGAAGGGTTCTCGGTGCGAAACCTGTGGTGGAAGGTTTTGTGCAGAGAAAGTGCTTCTGAGTCTCTCATGTGTAAAGTGCCAAAAGTGCCGCTGTCCGTCACTGAGGAGCCGTCTCTGAGGAGCCGTCACTGAGGAGCCGTCACTGAGGAGCCGTCACTGAGGAGCCGTCACTGAGGAGCCGTCACTGAGGAGCCGTCACTGAGGAGCCGTCACTGAGGAGCCGTCACTGAGGAGCCGTCTCTGAGGAGCCGTCACTGAGGAGCCGTCACTGAGGAGCCGTCACTGAGGAGCCGTCACTGAGGAGCCATCACTGAGGAGCCGTCACTGAGGAGCCGTCACTGAGGAGCCGTCACTGAGGAGCCGTCACTGAGGAGCCGTCACTGAGGAGCCGTCACTGAGGAGCCGTCACTGAGGAGCCGTCACTGAGGAGCCGTCACTGAGGAGCCGTCACTGAGGAGCCGTCACTGAGGAGCCGTCACTGAGGAGCCGTCACTGAGGAGCCGTCACTGAGGAGCCGTCACTGAGGAGCCGTCTCTGTCGCTGCATCGACGCCGCGCTGCTGAAGTTGTGTTCGCAGCAAAACGTTCTCATTCTTCAGCTCCTCAATCTGCGCCACAGACATGCAACAAGAAGGAAGTGATCAACAGCAGTCAGTGTGTGTGTGTGAGAGACGCACAAGGGTAATGCACACACACACACACAGGAAACACACAGGAGACACACGCACACACAGGAGACACACACACACACATGCACGCACGCACAACACACACAGGAGACACACACACATACACGCACGCACGACACACACATGCACGCACACAGGAGACACACACAGGACACACACACGCACGCCCACAGGAGACACACACACGCACGCACACAGGAGACACACACACGCACGCACACAGGAGACACACACAGGACACACACACACACACACACACACGCACACAGGAGACACACACAGGACACACACACACACACGCACACAGGAGACACACACACGCACGCACACAGGAGACATACACACGCACGCACACAGGAGACACACACACGCACGCACACAGGAGACACACACACGCACGCACACAGGAGACACACACAGGACACACACACACACACGCACACAGGAGACACACACACACACACACACACACGGGACTATAAAAGCAGCAGATTAAAGACAAGCCTCCGGACACACTCCTGCGTCCACCAGTGCCTGGATTATTAAATGTAGAGTTGTGTCTGTGCCACTGGTCCCCCGGGTGAGAGCCGAGAGCCCTGACACCCCCGGGCCCCCACCGACGCCCCACCACAGACCACCCCCCACAGACCCCCCACCGGGCGAGAGGAGCGAGAGACGGGCCTCTGTGAGCATCAGAACTGCCTTACAGCGACTCAAACAGGAAAGCTTTGCCTCAGAGCTGCAGGTTTTAACAATAGTTTTCCAGAGCATTAGCATTAGCATTAGCACTCAGCCGTATGCTAGCCCCAGTGTAACAGACTGCAGGTAACGCGTCTCATTATGGGAGCGCGTACGCTTTGATCCTCCATCGTCTGCCGGAGATGATCGACTATAGAACTTACCGTCTCTGGAGGTTTGTCTGGGAAATGGAAATTCATCCCAAGCAGCGGCGTTTGTGGATGTTGCAATAGTTTTAAAATGTGCCAAACGGTTCAGAGGAAGCAATCTTCACAGACGCAGGCGATGTGCAGCGGATTTGAATCACGTCAGAAGACTTTACTGAGACACGCTGCCTCTTACGAGTATTTGCAAGTTTTGAGAATCATTTCCAGTACTCCCTGTAATACCCCCGTGTACAGATAGGGGTCCACACACCCCCAGTTGGGAAACACTAATTATGTACAGCCACTCTCAGAAACCTCATTTATTCTGCATTTTACTTAGAGACCAGAGAGACACCAAATAGACGAGAGAGAGACCAGAGAGACACCAGAGAGAGACCAGAGAGAGACCAGAGAGAGAAACCAGAGAGAGACCAGAGAGAGAAACCAGAGAGAGACCAGAGAGAGAGACCAGAGAGACCAGAGAGACCAGAGAGAGACCAAATAGATAGAGACAGAGAGAGAGACTAAAGAGAAACCAGAGAGAGACCAAAGACAGAGACCAGAGAGAGAGACTAGAGAGAGAGAGACTAGAGAGAGACCAGAGAGAGAGACCAGAGAGACCAGAGAGACCAGAGAGAGACCAAATAGATAGAGACAGAGAGAGAGACTAAAGAGAAACCAGAGAGAGACCAAAGACAGAGACCAGAGAGAGAGACTAGAGAGAGAGAGACTAGAGAGAGACCAGAGAGAGACCAGAGACCAAAGAGATAGAGAGAGACCAGAGACAGAGACCAGAGAGAGACCAGAGAGAGAGACCAGAGAGAGACCAGAGAGACACCAGAGACCAAAGAGATAGAGAGAGACCAGAGACAGAGACCAGAGAGAGACCAGAGAGAGACCAGAGAGAGACCAGAGACAGAGATCAGAGAGAGACCAGAGAGAAACCAGAGAGAGACCAGAGAGAGAGACCAGAGAGAGACCAGAGAGAGACCAGAGACAGAGATCAGAGAGAGACCAGAGACCAAAGAGACCAGAGAGAGACCAGAGAGAGACCAGAGAGAGACCAGAGACAGAGATCAGAGAGAGACCAGAAAGAGACCTGAGAGAGACCAGAGAGAGACCAGAGAGAGACCAGAGAGAGAGACCAGAGAGAGACCAGAGAGAGACCAGAGAGAGACCAGAGAAAAGGGCGAAAATAGAACTATCCGTCTCTGGAGGTTTGTCTGAGAAATGGAAATTCATCCAGAGCAGTGAAATTTTGTGGATGTTGCAACAGTTTTAAAACGGTTCAGAGAAAGCAATCTTCACAGACGCAGGCGGCGCCCTCTGCTGGTCTCCGAGCAGAGTTAGTTCAATCACTCCATGAGTTGATGATATAAAGTGTATTTGAATAATGCATTTTTTGAAACTGCAGAAGACTTCACTGAGACGAGCCGTCAGTCCTGGGTCTACAGCCTCAGTCCTGGGTCTACAGCCTCAGTCCTGGGTCTACAGCCTCAGTCCTGGGTCTACAGCCTCAGTCCTGGGTCCACAGCCTCAGTCCTGGGTCCACAGCCTCAGTCCTCGGTCTACAGCCTCAGTCCTCGGTCTACAGCCTCAGTCCTGGGTCTACAGCCTCAGTCCTGGGTCTACAGCCTCAGTCCTGGGTCCACAGCCTCAGTCCTCGGTCTACAGCCTCAGTCCTCGGTCTACAGCCTCAGTCCTCGGTCTACAGCCTCAGTCCTCGGTCTACAGCCTCAGTCCTCGGTCTACAGCCCCAGTCTCCTGCTGTAGCACCCAGTGAAATGAATGGGTTCCTATGGAAGGGGTGGGTGCCTTAAACCATCATACAGGACTTGCACGTGTATTCCAATGTGGTTTTACTGCAGATGACTGTGAGTGTTGGAGAGACCCACCTGGCGCCTGCAGAGCTCGGTCTCCCCCTGGATCCTCTGCACCTCCTTCAGCGCCTCCTGCAGCCGCTGGTTGCTCTGCCTTAGCTCCTGGATGTAGTCGCAGGCTTTGGACAGGATTCCACCTTTGCTCTGGAAGTGGAACACACAGCTAGCATACGCCGTAACGACAAAACTGTTAGCATCAGGGCTAGCACAGTAACGACTATACCCACCCTCTCTGGTCTCTCTCTGGTCTCTCTCTCTGGTCTCTCTCTCTGGTCTCTCTCTGGTCTCTCTCTCTGGTCTCTCTCTCTGGTCTCTCTCTCTGGTCTCTCTCTCTGGTCTCTCTCTGGTCTCTCTCTGGTCTCTCTCTCTGGTCTCTCTCTCTGGTCTCTCTTTCTGGTCTCTCTCTCTGGCCTCTCTCTGGTCTCTCTCTCTGGTCTCTCTCTCTGCGTCTCTCTCTCTGGTCTCTCTCTCTGGTCTCTCTCTGGTCTCTCTCTGGTCTCTCTCTCTGGTCTCTCTCTCTGGTCTCTCTCTCTGGTCTCTCTCTGGTCTCTCTCTGGTCTCTCTCTGGTCTCTCTCTCTGGTCTCTCTCTCTGGTCTCTCTTTCTGGTCTCTCTCTCTGGTCTCTCTCTCTGGCCTCTCTCTGGTCTCTCTCTCTGGTCTCTCTCTCTGCGTCTCTCTCTCTGGTCTCTCTCTCTGGTCTCTCTCTGGTCTCTCTCTGGTCTCTCTCTCTGGTCTCTCTCTCTGGTCTCTCTCTCTGGCCTCTCTCTCTGGTCTCTCTCTCTGGTCTCTCTCTGGTCTCTCTCTGGTCTCTCTCTCTGGTCTCTCTCTCTGGTCTCTCTCTCTGGCCTCTCTCTCTGGTCTCTCTCTCTCTGGTCTCTCTCTGGTCTCTCTCTCTGGTCTCTCTCTCTCTGGTCTCTCTCTGGTCTCTCTCTCTGGTCTCTCTCTCTCTGGTCTCTCTCTCTCTGGTCTCTCTCTGGTCTCTCTCTCTGGCCTCTCTCTCTGGTCTCTCTCTCTCTGGTCTCTCTCTCTCTGGCCTCTCTCTCTTTGGCCTCTCTCTGGTCTCTCTCTGGTCTCTCTCTCTGGTCTCTCTCTCTGGTCTCTCTCTCTGGTCTCTCTCTGGTCTCTCTCTGGTCTCTCTCTGGTCTCTCTCTGGTCTCTCTCTGGTCTCTCTCTGGTCTCTCTCTGGTCTCTCTCTCTGGTCTCTCTCTGGTCTCTCTCTGGTCTCTCTCTGGTCTCTCTCTGGTCTCTCTCTGGTCTCTCTCTGGTCTCTCTCTGGTCTCTCTCTCTGGTCTCTCTCTGGTCTCTCTCTGGTCTCTCTCTGGTCTCTCTCTGGTCTCTCTCTGGTCTCTCTCTGGTCTCTCTCTGGTCTCTCTCTGGTCTCTCTCTGGTCTCTCTCTCTGGTCTCTCTCTGGTCTCTCTCTGGTCTCTCTCTGGTCTCTCTCTGGTCTCTCTCTGGTCTCTCTCTGGTCTCTCTCTGGTCCTCTACTATTTTCATTGTAAAGTTTATTGACTTGTGTGAACGATGCTCATAAGCGTTTAGCTTCTTCCCGCTCCTTATGTGCAGTATTAATACGGTTTAATTAAATAATTAAAGTCATAATAGAATAAGTCCCTCACTGCTCCGGTCTTGGTGGTGTCCACGGTGCAGTCGGGGATGATCTTGGACAAAGTCACGATCCAGTTGTTAATCTTGTCTCTTCTCCGTCTTTCAACTTGAACAATTAAAACACACAAAAACAGATTTCTTCAGAAAACCTTTTGTTCACCTCACTTTGTATTTATCCCCCAACAGGGTCTGACACGGCCCAACACTGACCTCTAGTGGCCAGGAGGGACGCTGCCTTTCACAGACACTTGGGCCTTGTCGTTCCCTCTTCTCTTCCCTTTGTCTCGAGCAAATCAAACACAATCAGACATAATTACCCACCTTCATTATGCTGCGCTCGCCTCCTTTCATCTCGCGGCGTTCGGGGTCCGTCCATTTTCCTGCAGCACAGAAAGGAAATATAAAAGCATTCTTCACACTTTCTGTTGTGTCTGAACAGCATCGCTCCGGTGCAATTGCTCGATCTATAATCCTCCGCCTTTTAGAACACTTGTTATCTGTGGACGTGCGGCCTTCGAGGCGGCCTCTGCGCATGCTAATCCCACCTGCTGCGGACAAATGCTAAAGAATCAGCTCATATTTGCTTCAATCCAGTGTTTTTTACCTTAATCTGACACTTTCTGACTGTGTTAAAACAAGATTTACCAACAGGACAAAGACATTTATTCTGATTCTAAAGAAGTTGCTTTATTTTCTCTGTTTAGACGGCTGCCCCTGTGACCCAGCAACGGATGAAGCAGAAGAAAATGGATTCTTTATTTCCACATTCCAAAGGAGACATTTCTGTATCTTTTTAAAACAAGACCATTTTGATTTGTCCCGTTGGAAAATCTGGTTTTAAGGCAGAATGTGCTCAAATTAAGACACATTTACACACACGGGGGGGGGGGGGGGGGGGGGGGGGAGAGGAGGGGGGGGGGGAGGAGGGAGAGAGCGAGAGAGGGGGAGACATCTTTCTCTATAATCTTAGTTTTAAATTTGTAGAGCAGCACTGCGGGCCATGGTTTGTTGTTCAGTTTGAGTTTGCATGTTCTCCCCGTGTCTGCATAGGTTTCCTCTGGGTGCTCCGGTTTCCCCGACCACTAAAATCTTCAATGGAGTGAGTGAGTGAACGGATGGTGGTCGCTTCTGTCACCGCCGTGTGGAGGGAAAGGGAATTACAGGAACAACAGTAAAGCACTTTGTGTGACCTTGGTCTGTGAAGGCGTTATATAATTAAAGTTCCTTACATGTCTCTCTACAGTGTTGCACATCACGGACATGAAACATAAAGAATGAAGCCGCCCGAGGGTTAACGCTCGACCCAAAAACCAAAAACCAAGACGTCTTTGCCAATCGGTGTCACGGTCAAACACGAGGCACTGGGACAAGTATTTGACTGCATTTGTAAAACTAACCTAGAAAAAGTCAAAACTGGGCTAAACTGGGCTCAACTGGGCTAAACACTGAGAGAGAGAAGAGAGAGCGGAGACAGAGACCCCACTTCATCAGGACCCAGAAAAACACAGATAAAGAAAGTGAAAGAAGGACATTTGTTTCTGAGAAGAACAATGACCTACTTTCAGACTCATCTGGAAACAGACAAAAAACAACAGGAGTGGGTCATCAGTGAAGAACGCCTGTTGGGGAGGGAGGGGGGAGGATGAGGGAGGAGTGATGGGGGAGGAGTGAGGAGGGAGGAGTGATGGGGGAGGAGTGAGGGGGGAGGAGTGAGGAGGGAGGAGGGATGGGGGAGGGGTGAGGGGGGAGGAGTGAGGAGGGAGGAGGGATGGGGGAGGGGTGAGGGGGGAGGATGAGGGAGGAGTGATGGGGGGAGGAGGGATGGGGGAGGAGTGAGGGGGGAGGAGTGAGGGGGGGAGGAGTGAGGAGGGAGGAGTGATGGGGGAGGAGTGAGGGGGGAGGAGTGAGGAGGGAGGAGGGATGGGGGAGGGGTGAGGGGGGAGGATGAGGGAGGAGTGATGGGGGGAGGAGGGATGGGGGAGGAGTGAGGGGGGAGGAGGGAGGAGGGATGGGGGAGGAGTGAGGAGGGAGGAGTGAGGGGGGAGGAGGGATGGGGGAGGAATAAAACATGTTGCTGCCTCCGGCCACTGTGTGGCGCTGCCTCCCACTGTATGCCCTGTATAAGGTGGATGTAATTACACACAGGTGTGTAGTGCGGAGACAATCTGACTGTTGTGTGTTTGTGTAAAGTGACATGTGTATGTTTGTATCACAGGAAAAGGATTGTGTAACACAGAGACACGAGTCCGAGACACAAACACTGCGTCCAGCTACAGCTGCTCAGAGTGTGTGAGGCGGCTGTGGCTACAGCTGCTGCTGCTGAATACAATAAACCTTGTTGTGTCTGAGGCAGAAGCTGCTAAACTCTACACAACAAAAGCCTTTTCATTCTCCCAGACCACTTTCAGACCTTTCTCCCACACAGAGGGGGGGTCAGAGCAGAAAGAGAAGATTCACAGAAACGTCCGATTGTTGCTTTTGAAGAAGTCATGTGTCCTCCACCAAAGACCAAACTGTTAAACAGCGGCGCTCCAGGAGCAAAGGGACTAAACAGCTCCAGGAGCAAAGGGACTAAACAGCTCCAGGAGCAAAGGGACTAAACAGTGACGTCACAGTGTGACATCACACCATCACACTGTTACACCGTCACACCGTCACACCCTTACACCGTCACACCATTACACGTAACACCCTTACACCGTCACACCATTACACGTAACACCATTACACGTAACACCATTACACGTAACACCCTTACACCGTCACACCATTACACGTAACACCCTTACACGTAACACCATTACACGTAACACCATTACACGTAACACCATTACACGTAACACCATTACACGTAACACCCTTACACGTAACACCCTTACACGTAACACCATTACACGTAACACCCTTACACGTAACACCATTACACGTAACACCCTTACACGTAACACCATTACACGTAACACCATTACACGTAACACCCTTACACGTAACACCCTTACACGTAACACCATTACACGTAACACCATTACACGTAACACCATTACACGTAACACCCTTACACGTAACACCATTACACGTAACACCCTTACACGTAACACCATTACACGTAACACCCTTACACGTAACACCATTACACGTAACACCCTTACACGTAACACCATTACACGTAACACCCTTACACGTAACACCATTACACGTAACACCCTTACACGTAACACCATTACACGTAACACCCTTACACGTAACACCATTACACGTAACACCCTTACACGTAACACCATTACACGTAACACCATTACACGTAACACCCTTACACGTAACACCATTACACGTAACACCCTTAACGTAACACCATTACACGTAACACCATTACACGTAACACCCTTACACGTCACACCCTTACACGTAACACCATTACACGTAACACCATTACACGTAACACCCTTACACGTAACACCATTACACGTAACACCCTTACACGTAACACCCTTACACGTAACACCATTACACGTAACACCATTACACGTAACACCCTTACACGTAACACCATTACACGTAACACCCTTACACGTAACACCCTTACACGTCACACCCTCACACGTCACACCCTTACACGTAACACCCTTACACGTAACACCCTTACACCGTAACACCCTTACACGTTACACCCTTACACGTAACACCCTTACACGTAACACCCTTACACCGTAACACCCTTACACGTTACACCCTTACACGTAACACCCTTACACCGTAACACCCTTACACGTAACACCCTTACACCGTAACACCCTTACACCGTAACACCCTTACACGTTACACCCTTACACCGTAACACCCTTACACGTTACACCCTTACACGTAACACCCTTACACCGTAACACCCTTACACGTAACACCCTTACACCGTAACACCCTTACACGTTACACCCTTACACGTAACACCCTTACACCGTAACACCCTTACACGTAACACCCTTACACCGTAACACCCTTACACGTTACACCCTTACATAGGCCTGTCACGATAACAAATTTTGCTGGACGATTAATTGTCTCAGAAATTATTGCGATAAGCGATTATATTGTCGTTCTGAGATCATTTGCATCGATTACAATGATAATGCAGGTACACTTTTTCAAAGAGAAATAAACTTTTATTTTTAACGAATATTTAACGCTACAACACAATAAATTAACAAACAACCAAAAACAATAAATAAAATAGACTCAGTCTCTTAACAAAAAATGACCAGGAATAAAACTGCCAGGACCTTTGTAAAGAAAATATGAAACAGATGCCTCAAATGTCAATAATTTCTCAGACTTTATGGCAGATTACGAGAAATAAATACCAACATGTTGACTTTGTGTGGCTTAAGACAGGATCTCTCAGGAGTAGTCCCACCTCCCCACACACCAGGCGAATGACAAGTGACTGACATGTGGGTTCACCAATGGGGCGTACAGAAGTCCTGCTGCGGTAGCGCCCACCGGAAGTAGCGGGGCGGGCTTTGATGCTAACAGCTAAGCTAGCGGGTTTTGCAAGTCTGCAGCATCTCTGTGTTCAGAGACCTTCTAGAGACTTTATATAACAGCAGTATGTGTTCACGGAGGTGCGCCATAGGTTTATTTTATTGGTATGGTACGGTACTTCTGCATCGGCGAACACGCTAACGCTAGCTGCGCTAGTATAGTCACTAATCAAGCCTGAATGAGAACTCAGCTGCCGGCATACGTTCACAACTACTGTGTCCCCCATTGTCAATCCTGGTTAAGTCCTGGTTTAGGTCCTGTTTTGGCTGTATTTTGTATTTTTGAGTAATTTCCGTCTGCTTGCTAGACCGCTAGTGTTCCCGTGACCACTTTGCGGCTCTCTGACGAGAGAGACGGGGGAAACGAAACAAACAAGCTGCAAATGGGATTTATCGCGGCCAGAAAAGTTATTGAGCAAATTTTATTTATCGTGCGATTAATTGATTTTCACTATCGCGACAGGCCTACCCTTACACGTCACACGTCACACCCTCACACGTCACACGTCACACGTCACACGTCACACCCGTCACACCCTTACACGTCACACCCTTACACGTCACACCCTTACACGTTACACCCTTACACGTCACACCCTTACACGTCACACCCTTACACGTCACACCCTCACACGTCACACCCTCACACGTCACACCCTCACACGTCACACCCTCACACGTCACACCCTCACACGTCACACCCTTACACCCTTACACGTCACACCCTCACACGTCACACCCTCACACGTCACACCCTCACACGTCACACCCTTACACGTCACACCCTTACACGTCACACCCTTACACGTCACACCCTTACACGTCACACCCTCACACGTCACACCCTCACACGTCACACCCTCACACGTCACACCCTCACACGTCACACCCTCACACGTCACACCCTCACACGTCACACCCTTACACGTCACACCCTTACACGTCACACCCTCACACGTCACACCCTTACACGTCACACCGTTACCATTATACCGTTATTACAGTACTTCCTTTTTTCCCAGTTTTTTATTTCCAAATCTACGATCACAGTCGGACAGAGCCTCCGTCTCGGTCTCTGTGTCCACTCGGGAAAGAGAAACCCGGTGGATACAGAGGGTTTCTATAAACGAGTGGATAGGCTTCACCTCAAGTCCAGTCTAGTCCAGTCCTGCAGCGGGACAAAGCCCTTTAGTCTGATTTCAAGATCCATCCATCCATCCATTTTCTACCCTTTGATCCATTTCTGGGTCAGGGGGGTGGCAGTCAGAGATGCCACCCAAGTCTCATAGCACCAGCCCCTCACTGACCCTCTGCAGGTGGTGAGTCCACAGGAGGACGGCTGCTCTCTGAGTGTGAGCATAGCCTTGATCTTTCAGTGGGGGCTTTGGGCAAAGTGGGGTTAAGTGTCTTGCCCAAGGACACAACGACAGCAGTCATCAGTGGGAGTCGGTGGAGAAGGTGTAGAGGTGGGAATTGAACCCACGACCTTCTGGCCTTAAGGCCAATGCTCTACCAACTGAGCTAATGTCGCCCCCATGATTTCAAGATCTGTGGCTTAATCATTCAAAGAGAGACATTTGTCCCATCGGTAAATCTGGTTCATTAAGACACATTTTGGTAAATTTGATCAATTTTCGATCTAGTTTGTAAATGTCTTTATAAAAGAATGGGGTTTATAATATATTATCTTCATCCTTTTTCCTTTCATGGAATGTATTACTGTTGTATTTGCTGGATTATTGTTATATTTTGTTGCATTACCATGAAAAAGGGAACAAAAATAAATTTAAAAAATACATTTTTGACTTCTTTTTCATCATCTTTCGCTCTGAGTCTAAGAGTTTGTGATGAATCCTAACATTTTCAGGCGAGAATCCTTAGTTTTGGTGCTAATGTGGGACTTGTCTCTTGGTGTTGTGTGTCTTTGTGTTGTGTGTCTTTGTGTGTTCCAGCTCAAAGAGAAACTCACGGTGACTTCACAGACAGAAATCAGATAAAACCATTCCTATGTTTTCATGGTTTAAGCCTAAATCACAAATGAGCAAAACGATGATGTCTCCGGTGGTTACGCTTAATAACAGGAGTTATGGAGTAAATATGGAGTAAATATAGAGTAAATATAGAGTAAATATGGAGTAAATATAGAGTCAATATAGAGTAGATATGGAGTAAATATGGAGTAAATATAGAGTAAATATAGAGTAAATATAGAGTAAATATGGAGTAAATATGGAGTAAATATAGAGTAAACATGGAGTAAATATAGAGTAAATATAGAGTAAATATGGAGTAAATATAGAGTAAATATGGAGTAAATATGGAGTAAATATAGCGTAAATATAGAGTAAATATAGAGTAAATATAGAGTAAATATGGGATAAATATAGAGTAAATATAGAGTAAATATGGAGTAAATATGGAGTAAATATAGAGTAAATATGGAGTAAATATGGAGTAAATATGGAGTAAATATAGAGTAAATATGGAGTAAATATGTAGTAAATATAGAGTAAATATGGAGTAAATATGGAGTAAATATGGAGTAAATATAGAGTAAATATGGAGTAAATATGGAGTAAATATAGAGTAAATATGGAGTAAATATAGAGTAAATATAGAGTAAATATAGAGTAAATGTAGAGTAAATATTGGGATAAACAGCACCTAAGAGGATTAAAAAAGAGAAGAAAAGAAGACACAATAAAGACCTCTGAAGCGACGCTAATCCTCAGAGTAAGAAGCTTTAGCTCCGTGTTTACACCACAACAGCACTGCAGACGAGAGGAGACGAGAGAGACCACTGCAGACGAGAGAGACCACTGCAGACGAGAGAGACCACTGCAGACGAGAGGAGACGAGAGAGACCACTGCAGACAAGAGGAGACGAGAGAGACCACTGCGGGCGAGAGGAGACGAGAGAGACCACTGCGGGTGAGAGAGACCACTCCAGACAAGAGGAGACGAGAGAGACCACTGCGGGTGAGAGAGACCACTCCAGACATGAGGAGACGAGAGAGACCACTGCAGACGAGAGGAGACGAGAGAGACCACTGCGGGCGAGAGGAGACGAGAGAGACAACTGCGGGCGAGAGAGACCACTCTGTCCTGGGGGGCTTCATCACATAGAACTGATCAAGAGGAGACGAGAGAGACCACTGCGGGCGAGAGAGACCACTGCAGACGAGAGGAGACGAGAGAGACAACTGCAGACGAGAGAGACCACTGCTGGCGAGAGAGACCACTGCAGACGAGAGAGACCACTGCAGACGGGAGGAGACGAGAGAGACCACTGCGGGCGAGAGGAGACGAGAGAGACCACTGCGGGCAAGAGAGACCACTCCAGACAAGAGGAGACGAGAGAGACCACTGCAGACGAGAGGAGACGAGAGAGACCACTGTGGGCGAGAGAGACCACTTCAGACATGAGGAGACGAGAGAGACCACTGCAGACGAGAGGAGACGAGAGGGACCACTGCGGACATGAGGAGACGAGAGAGACCACTGCGGGAGAGAGAGACCACTCCAGACAAGAGGAGACGAGAGGGACCACTGCGGACATGAGGAGACGAGAGAGACCACTGCGGGCGAGAGAGACCACTCCAGACATGATGAAAACAAGAGGAGACGAGAGAGACCACTGCAGACAAGAGGAGACGAGAGAGACCACTGCAGACATGATAACGGCAACAAAAGAGGAGACGAGACAAATGTCAGTAAAGAACAACAGAGTCAGGACTGGATTCAGAGGGTCTGAGGTTTACAACTAGGTACAGCATGACTGTGTTGGAGCTGAAGTTGGCTGGATGACACTGAAAATGTCTCAACAGAGACTTTGTGTTAGCAGCAGAGGGCCACATGAAATGGCACAGAGGGCCGCAATTGGCCCGTGGGCCTGAGTTTGGACAAACTAGACTGTTTTCAACAACAGAAGCTGGAGAGAGCTGTTTAAAGATGTTTAAAGATTCATGACTCCCACTGATGTCTGCTGTCGTTGTGTCCTTGGGCAAGACACTTGGCTCCTGTGGACTCAGCACCTGCAGCAGGATCAGTGAGGACCAGGAAGATCAGTGAGGAGCAGGAGGATCAGTGAGGAGCAGGAGGATCAGTGAGGAGCAGGAGGATCAGTGAGGAGCAGGAGGATCAGTGAGGAGCAGGAGGATCAGTGAGGACCAGGAGGATCAGTGAGGAGCAGGAGGATCAGTGAGGATCAGGAGGACCAGGAAGATCAGTGAGGAGCAGGAGGATCAGTGAGGACCAGGAGGAGCAGGTGCTCTGACTGCCACCCCCCACCCAGACATGGATTAAGGGGAAGAAGATGGATGGATGACTAAAACACTCGATCTAAACTTATATTTCCTATTTTTTGCACTGTACAAAAACACATAGAATCGTTACTTACACAGGATACGGCTGTGTCCGTGGGACCAGGCTCCTCTGGGCTCCGGGCTGCAGGACGTCAGGGGGGGGCACCATCACATAGAACTGTCCTGGGGGGGGGAGGGGGGGCATCATAACATAGAACTGTCCTGGGGGGGGGCACCATCACATAGAACTGTCCTGGGGGGGGGCATCATAACATAGAACTGTCCTGGGGGGGGGGCACCATCACATAGAACTGTCCTGGGGGGGGAGGAGGGGGCATCATAACATAGAACTGTCCTGGGGGGGGAGGAGGGGGGAGGGCATCATCACATAGAACTGTCCTGGGGGGGGGGGGGGGGCATCATCACATAGAACTGTCCTGGGGGGGGAGGGGGGGGGGCATCATCACATAGAACTGTCCTGGGGGAGGAGGGGGGGACATTACATTCAGACCTATTGTACATGTTTATAGTGGTAAAGGGGAAACTGGAGCACCTGGAGGAAACCTATGACGACACGGGGAGAACATGCAAACTCCACTGCAGACACACTGTGATATTTCGTTCTTATAACAGACTAATTCCTACATCATTATCAGATCTCAAACATCTGGATATTTAAGCACTGACTTCATCCAAACAGCAACAAATAACATCTAATATCATTCCATCTGAAAACATGAGGCTTCATTAAGACAGCATGGCCCCGCCCCCAGGTTTAAGCCCCGCCCACAACGCCACACTGTTCACCATCTCTGAAGCCGCCGATAGAGACGACAAAACTTTTATTATTTATGACTTTAAATTCTCAATATTGAACTAAACTGTTTTGATTAAATGAACGATTCCTCGGCACATTAAAGAAAGAAAATAAGTCAAAAATTGCTCAAATTTGAAAAAGAATTTGCTCAATAACAGCACATTTCGACTGCCTTTAAACAAGATGTGCCAAACATTATATCTATACACCCAAATAAACACAATAAGGGGTCTCCTTTGGAACGAGGAAATAACACTAAATGTCTTTATCCCATTGGACAATCTGGTTTAGGTCAGAATGGGTCTGTCCTGGGTCTGTCCTGGGTCTGTCCAGAGTCTGTCCCGAGTCCGTCCCGAGTTCGTCCCGGGTCCGTCCCGAGTCTGTCCTGAGTCTGTCCTGAGTCTGTCCCGAGTTCGTCCCGGGTCCGTCCCGA